CTGACCAGTTCTATATAGCATTTGCATAGTTTGCAGTCTGCACACAACTGTGGAAAACAGAGTCAGCTATGCGGAGCTAAACTACAGTAATTTAGTATTGCTCTTGGTCTGTAACTGGAATAGGAACCTGTTTTTTCATTAATGTTATTGTTTTTTTTTCTAATTGTTTGAGTGTTTGGCAGGTGGGTCTTAAAAGTTTAATTACAAATACAGTCTTGAAAACGTAGTCCAGCCATCATTGGTTTATTTGTTTTGTCCGTTAAGGCTCGGTTCGACCAAACTTTTATCCGAGAATAATTCCTGGGTTAAACTAGTACATTGACAGTTTCAGTATGGGAAATATGTCAAAATGTCGAATAACTGACGATTTATTCTGAGATTAATATTTACTCTTGTTTGGTCGAATCCACCCTAAATCAACAATGTACCTACTATAAATACATAAATAAAGCTTTATTTTCACCAAACAGAAATAAAACATATACTAGGTCCTTAACATTAAAAACACTACACTGCACAAAATACACCTTTCATTTCTACAGGGTGGAAACGATAAGTGATCTCATTCGATTATTTCTAAACTACACAAGATATTGAGAAACTGATTACTGATCCTGAAAGTGCTTCACGAGCTCTTTCAAACGATATCAGTAATATGTTACAGAATTAACTGGATCTATCCGAAAAGTCAATTTTTTCAGCCTCCATACTAAATGTATGCACACAATATAAGAAGTGTTGTTTTTTTATTTTAAATCATAAACACTTAAAATTAACTCGTAAATAGCATTCTTATTTAAAATTATTCATGAAAAACATTGGTTTTAGGCTTTACTTGCTATAATATTATCAAGACATGAGTGCCATGACTGTGGCAGTAGTAAATGTATGGAAGCTAGAAACATTGAATTTTCGGATAGATCCAGTTTATTTTATAACTTATTATTGGTACCGTTAGATAGAGCTCGTGGAGCACTTTCAGAATCAGTAACCAGTTTTCGGATATCTTGAACAGTTTTTAATATTATGTGGTTTTACTAAATGTATGGAGGCTGGAAACATTGAATTTTCAGATAGATCCAATTTATTTTGTAACCTATTATTGGTACCGTTGGATAGAGCTCGTGAAGCAATTTCAGGATCAGTAACCAGTTTTTGGATATCTTGTATAGTTTAGAAATAATCGAGTGAGATCACTTATCGTTTCCACCCTGTATATTTTTCAACCGACTTCAAAAAAAGGAGGAGGTTCTCAATTCGACCCGTATGTTTTTTTTCTATGTTTGTTACGCGGTAACTCCGCCAATTATGAACCGATTTTCAAAATTCTTTTTTTGTTCGATAGGGTTCACTTCTGAGGTGGTCCCATTGTCACCAAGTCAGGATCTGATGATGGGATCCTAAGGAAATCGAGGGCAACCCTCAAATTTTATAGGCACGTATATAGTTTTTCAAACTTTTTCTTAAGTTATTCATATATTTGCTCCTGGAAATCATCATCTCATATTGATGAGCTGATGATAGAAGGTAAAACTCCTTAATGCTTAGGAGTTGGAGGATAATTCTTTTAATTTTATAGATAAGTATAGTTTCTAAAATTATTCAAGTGTTTACATCAGATATTCATCATCTCATCATGATGAACTGGTCATGGTAGATACAACTCCTTAATGCTCAGGAGTTGGAGGATAATTCTTTAAATATCATAAGTACAAATAGACCAACAGTGTATTCTTTCATGTTTTTAAGGTCTTTTTAGGTTTCCTATATGGTAATCTGTATTTTGTAGGGAATATTATTTTACACTAGACATGAAGAGTATGGTCTCAATGTACTGCCTACCTTCAGTGGTAACATCAAGGTAATAATTAGTTAACTAAAAAGCAAAAAATAAGTAAAATTTTATAAAAAAAAATAAAACCGACTCCAAAAAACCTACATTAAAAAGTAGAAAAATAATTACTTATTATACTTATTTATTAGGACGAATTAATATTTATGTAGGTATACCATGATTGATACTTTTGGAGTCGGTGCAGGCAAACTTTACATGTTTCATAATCTTGGCACCGACACCAGAAGTATCAATCATGGTATACCTACATAAATATTAATTCGTCCTAATAAATAAGTATAATCTCATAACACATTATCATTATTTCATTATCATTAAGTTAAGAGCGTTGTACCAAAAAGTTGGCGTTCGAATTTTAGGTTTTATTAATTGCTCGACGTCGCGTAGTGAGTGCGCTTGTTGCATTTTTCTTCATGTACGGCACACAGTTTCAACGCTGCGTCAACTAAACGATCTTGATCCGTAGCTGTATCGTACATAAGGCAGTACATACATATAACACGCTGTCGCTGTTCCAATTTTAGAATTATCGATAGTATTTATAGGGCATTTTAAGCAAAAATTTTGGTAGAGGCAATACTATTGATAGTTTTACTATTACAAATCAATTACATTATCGTTATAGTACCTAGAGTATAGTAGAGCTACGTCAATGGAGAAGTTTCCAATTTTTTCTATTAATAAAATTTGAAAATATAAGTAAAACCAATAATATTTGTGAAAGAATCATGAAAATATCTCTACAAATAAATAAGTTACAGGGTCCTAAAATATGCGCATAACAAACATATCCCGCCATTTGAAGGTGACTTCTCGCTACTAATTCGGAGTACAAACAGTGAATCACCCCTGGTCCAGTGCTGTTGACAGATTCAGTTTTTATAAATCTAGTAGCTTTTAATTTTTCAGCCAGAGTCACTAAAGATTCTTTCTTAGTAAAATTTTTAACCTATTTTTGACATATCCAAGACCTGTGGGTCTAGACAAAGTGCAAATTATAATCGCAAACCAGTCGAAAAGTGGTCGAAAACATGAAGCTAAAGATAAAAATGGAGGCCAAACTTGGAACAACAACTTGAGTCAAATACCTACTTATCTCTATCTCGCTCTCTGTGGGCCGACCTCTCTTTTTAGTGTGGACTGTACTATTGCTATCTCCTTATTGAAATTTCCTAGTAAATTCTTCGAAATAGCGGTTTACGAATACCTACTTGAAGCACAAACTATGTATCACTATCTCGCTCTCTGTGTGGTGTTTCTCTTTCTAAATAAACAAAAAATATAAATTTGCTCAAATTCAATGAAACTCAATGTAAAACCTTTATTCCTTGACATAGGTATCATTAAAAATGATAAGTGTAAATACTGGTAAAACGTTTTAGGAAGAAATTACTGTAAATAACTTAAAAAAAAAAATATAACCGACTTCAAATGCGTGAACACAAAAAAAACGAAAAATTAAAATTTTTGATAATACCTATTCAACAAAAAAATAATCGTTCAAATTGGTTCATAATCGGCGGAGATATTGCGTATAAAAAAGTTCATCCCCAATTTTCCACCCTTGGGGGTGAAATATTTTCTTTAAATTCGCATGAAACCACCCTTTTGATAATACCTATTCAACAAAACAATTATCGTTCAAATTGGTTTATATCGGCGGAGATATTGCGTATAAAAAAGTTCATCCTCAATTTTCCACCCTTGGGGGTTGTTTTTTTTATTAATATTAATTTTAAATGGGACCACCCTTGAGATATTACCTATACGCCGAAAAAAGATTTGTTCAAATCTGTTCATAATTGACGGAGTTATCGCGTAACAAACATAGAAAAAAAAAACATACGGGTCGAATTGAGAACCTCCTCCTTTTTTTGAAGTCGGTTGAAAATGTGAAAAATGTTTACAATGATCCAATGTCGGAAATCACGGAATAAACACTTACGCGTGGAATCTTATGTCACTTCCAGGATACCACGTACTACCGCAACCACGCACTACAAAATTTTGCACCATTTCTTGTGATAAAACAATGAATATTTCCTGTAAACAATCTCAAACGAAATTAACTGCATAATAAACAAAATAGTAAACAACCGCCATGATGGGCCGGATTGGGCCGATGCTGCCACATGGTACCGATTCCCCAGGAATTGGGATTGTAATTCCCTGATTCGCCAACACATTAAGCCTAAATGGCCGACAATTTTGTGATTTTTTATTTAACTAGGTAATCTTAGTTTCAAATATTAATTATTTGTTTAACTTCTGATTTGGTTAGTGAATTGGCTATTTCGAAGAATTTACAAGGAGATTTAAATAAGAAGATAGCAATACTACAGTTCATACTAAAAAGAGAGGTAGGGTCACAGAGAGCGAGATAGGTATTTGACTCAAGTTTTTGTTCCAAGTTTGCCCTCCATTTTTATCTTTAGCTTCATGGGTTCAACCCAGCCTAAATCTTTCCAATCATAGAAGCAACATACTAAAATTAGACTTTATTGTTTTATTTGTTGTTACACAGATTGCCTACATTTTTATACATAATTAAAATAAAGTAACAATACCAAACATGAAAATTTAATTGAAAATTAATATTGAAGTAAGTTTGACATTTCATGGATAACATATTTTATGCAGATACAATGATACAAGTAAGGCAAAGTTTTGTCTTATTTTATTTTATTCAGAGCCATGAGTACAAATTACTTTCGTGATGATCGTATAGTACCTAATCGTATTCTATAAGCAAACTAGGGGCTCGTTTTGATTTTTACCATACCTTAATGTGAACAATTTATGAATTATTTGTTCATGCTTATGCCTAAGATGTTTTTATATGATATGTCATTGGCTTATGCATGGTTGAGCATGAGCCATATAAGATAAAGCGGAGAAGTGTACGTCAAACTATGTACTTGTAATTTGGAGTTGTGCAGAGCGGAGTGGAGAAAAAACACAAAAAACTTCTCGGCTCCGCTTCGCTCTACTCTATCTTGGTGGAAATTGGGCCTTAGATGAAATTAACTCTTGTCATTTAAATAAAGTATTGTATTCAAAGAAGATGAAAAAGAAGATTTATGGAATGCTGTGCGAATTTTCCCTACCTGCATTGTTCCTGTTCATTTTTATTGTAATTTTTCAGTCATTTGTGAGGAATGTAACATCAAGAGTGTCGGGGTTGTTACCCGCAACAATCACGAAGTGGTTCAGTAGCCCCAGCTCATCCAATGCCAATGGATCCACTGCAGCTGCAGATGCTACTGACTCCTCCACTGAAGATGAGGCTCCAGAAAGCCCCATCACAACAGAACCACCTCCCAAACGCATGAAATTTAGTACAGCGGGCAACTACAATAATTTTGGCTCCAGTGATGTAAGTACTTAGTCATTCTGTACATAATATTTTACTCAGTAACTGGGTCTCGTGTGAATATTTTAGAGCAGCTATCGCGTCTGCACACCGCTTTGATACATTGACAATATTTTATGTGTATTAAAGTTAGTTGATGTAACCCGAGTTCATGCACAACACTTTACGCTATTCGAAAAAAATTACAGCTGCTCCACTAACATGCATCAATTATCAAGCATTACATACCTACCTACATATTTTGTTCCTTTCTTCAAGATGTGCTATAGTGATGAATGTGTTTTTAGTAAAAATGTGTGAAGATATTTTTCATCTTAATGATACATTAATTGACTGATGACTTTTGTTGTTGCAGCCTAATTGTATTCCTGCGGGTATTGACACTGTAGATCACCCTCCATATTCAACTGTGCAGTCAGCACCTACTAGGAGCACCTTTAGAAAGGAAGCTAATTATGTCTCCTCTACTCCTATAAGGGCTCCAAATGAAGAATCTGTTATCGAAAGAAATGAAAGGGAGAGCACTTTATTGAACAAATCACGAACTTCAGTCATTAGTGCTGGGCCGTCTGTTGGACTAGGTAACAAGAGGAAGTCATTATTTAATGCAAATAACAAGGAAGCCTCTATGCGAGCTTGTGAGTATATCAACCATCTGATTAAATTTGAAATGTTGTTAAGAATTTCATTGTCATTACAATATTCTTTTTGCTTTTAGTGGAGACAACAGCTAATAACACCAGGGTTGATACAAAGGCCCCTTGTTTCAAGCCCGCCTTGCTTGGGTCTCCGTTCTATCCAGGACAGACAATGTATGGAGGTGCTTCTACATCTGTGTACATCAATCAACCAAACATCAAGCACAAAAAGGTGGCTTTAGTAAATGAATCCAGTAGCAGCGATAATACTGCTATTAGTCATTCCGCACGACGTATTCTGGACCTACTGGAGAATTACTCCTCGCCACTGATGGAAGCTAGGAGACTTTCTCAGATAGTAAATAACAGCAGTTCTAAGAACGACACATCAAATAGCTCAACTATAAGTGGCTCGCCATATTCAAACAAAGTTATATGTAAGTAAAATCATCATTGTGTATTGTGTGTGTCTTAATTACTTTAACAGTTCACTTTATATAATATTTTTTTAAACAGCGTACAAAACCCAGGAACTTCATGCGCCAAATATCGCAACTATTTTGCGATTGAAACAAAGATCACGTCTAATGGACACAACAAACGCGGCAAGGCAAATAATTGCATCGCACAGCAGCACATCGGATTACATCGGCCAGCCCTATGCGTCTGTCATCACACATAAGTAAGTGTAGCGATTTGAAGATGAAGTTTTGTTGCTTTGAATATTTTAACTAAAATACTGGTGATATCTTGTGTTTCAGAGAACGAGCTGTCACAGAACCTTCCAAAATGACAACTAAAGTGAAAAATAGGTTGACAAGAGCCAAAAGAGGAGAGAGTGATATGGAGGAACAAACTATCACTCCTGTTTCTTTACCCACAGGAGTTTTACAAATTGATAAAGACAACTTGCCTAAATTCCATTTCGATATTCCAGTGCCCAAACCTGCTCCTACATCAATGCCTACCCCCAAATTTACAATTGTAGGAACAGCCAATAAAACAGATAAAACTCCAGCTGCTGCCAATAGTGATGAAATGGACTCAAGTAAGCCTAACGTTTCTAATAATAATGTATACAAATTCTCAAGCCCTGTCAGAATATCAAGAGCGACTACGATAATTTCTAGTACTCCTCCTAAATTTAAGTTTGGCAGTCCTGAGCGTGGTGTAGATAAGCCTAAGTCTGATAATGACAAGAAAGATCACAATCCTTCTTATGTTATAGGTCTGCCTAAGGTGACCGAAAAACTACCGATTCGCAAATCGGCTGATTGGAAATGTCCAGACTGTTGGGTGTGCAATAAGCCAGAGGTTAACAACTGTGTTTGCTGTGGAACGAAGCAGCCACCAAAAGAGGCCACTAAACCAAAGGAGACGGAAAAACCTAACGAGACAGCGCAGCCACTAAAATGCGCCATTTGCAAGCTGGCTGATAGGCAGTTCAATTCGGAGAAATGTGTCAATTGTGACAAGATCAAGTTTAGTAATAGCATCAAAATGAATTTCCCGACTGCAGCATCCTCAAATTGGAATTGTGCAGATTGTTGGGTTAGTAATGATGAGAAAGCGGATAAGTGCGTGTGCTGCGGTGGAAAGAATCCCAAAAAGTCTAGTGGGCCCAGTGTTGCCTCGGGCAACGGTGATAGCGAGTGGAAATGTGAGGACTGTTGGATTAAGAATAAGAGTGGCGATGAAAAATGCGCTGCGTGTGGTGGCGCCCGACCTGGGGCCAAGCCAAAGACAGCACCTGAACCGCTCACCAACAATTTCGGGTCTACACTGTTTAGAACAGACAATTCCTTGAAGAATATTGCAAAAACACAATCAGACAAATGGGAATGCCCCAGTTGTTTAGTGAGAAATGATAATTCCACATCCAAATGTGTTTGCTGCGATGAAAGTAAACCTGGCACCGTCAAAGTTTTAGATAACCATAAGGCGTTCAACTTCGGTTCGGTAACGGCTACATCATTTAAATTTGGAATTGACCCGAAAGCACAAGATACTAAGGCCAGTTCTACTAAACTCCCTGAAATTAAATTTGGTGACGGTCTAGCTAAACCGGAAGAATCCGAGACAAATAACAATGTTTACAAGAGCTCAGCAAATCGATTCACATTTGGAACATTTGCCAAAAAACCGGAAGAACAAACAGAAGTTGCCAAAGAAAACAAAGCTAATGAGGCTCCTAAATTGGGTTTAACATTTGCCATGCCAAAAACTCAGACACTAAAAGATCCAGATGTAATTCCTGTGTTCGGTTCACCGAAAAAACTTGTGGAATCTGTCCAAGAGAAAGTAAACGACGAGAAAGAGAAACCCCAAGAAGTACCTAGTCTACCTAAGGTTGATTTCAAATTTACACCTCCCAAAAACAAGTCTCCCAAAAAAATTACTGGATTATTTGCACCGGCATTATCCAGCACTCCAGTGAATCTAGACAATACTAGTCCTGCAACAACTTTGAACACATTAGGTAGCAATGCCATTTCAGAGAACAAGCCCAATACTGTCAACTCTCTATCGCCAATACCTGGAGCTTCGACCCCTGATGCAGTAGCTCCATTCAAATTTACAGATATAGGTCTGAAACCGCCTCAAAATATGTTTGCGGCTCCTACTTCCACTCCTCCCTCATTCTCCAGCACAATACAGAGCAAACCGACGACGTCGGCGATGCCAGTGTTCCAGAAGCTCGAGCAGAATGCTGCACCTCCAATGTTCATGAATCCCAATGCAACCACTTCAACGGTGTCAATGTTCCAAAAGACTGAGACTATTACGACCGCGGCTCCGCAATCTCTGGCTGCCACTGGACCTGTATTCAGCTTCGGATCCAACGCCGCCCCGAGTGCAGCACTACAATCTGACAAACCCAAGTTCAACTTTACATTTTCAATGAACCCTCCCCAATTTAACAGCAATGCATTCAGTGCAGCACCTCAAAACTCTAACACAAACAAGTTTAGTATTACCGGAGGTGCTTTGGGAGGGAACGGGCTACCTGCTACGAATCCGTTGACCACGGGAAATACTCCAACCGCTGGAAAAGTTGGATCAGTCACTGAGTTGGCGACGAACCCGTTATCTTCAAGGAGTGAGTTGCCAGCACCCGGGAATTTGTTCGGAGTACCCGTACAGAAAGAAAATCTGTGGTCAGCTAACAACAATAGCTCAACCAATATGTTCGTGTCGAATGCTTCGACTAATTCATTGCAGAAACCTCCGGCGTTTAGCTTTGGGTCGTCGACGCCATTTAATTCTTCCAATCAAGTGGTGACATTCGGAGGTACCGCAGCTCCCACTCAGAATAATCAAGTGACAGCGTTCGGCAGTAACACAGCACCCTCTCAGAATAATCAAGTGCCGGCATTTGGCAGTACCGCGGCATCTCAGAATAATCAGGTGACGGCGTTCGGCAGTAACACGGCACCATCTCAGAATAATCCTGTACCAACATTTGGCAGTAACACCAACGCAACGGCCTCTCAGAACAATCCGCTGTCAGGGTTCGGAAGTACCGCAGCTCCCGCTCAAAATAACCCGGTTGCACCGTTCGGGAGCACCGCAGCCGCTCAGAACAACGGCCCGCCGGCGTTCGGCAGCAGCGCGGCGCCCGCTCAGAATATGTTTGGCATGAATCAGAATACGAGCGCTCAGCCGTCCATGTTCTCGAACCCGGTGCGAAGCCCGCCCGCGCAGACCATGTTCGGCGCTCAGCAGCCGGCCAACAACGCCGCGCCCTCGATGAACCTCTTCGGGAGCCCCGGTGTAGGGGCGGCGCCTGCGTTCGGGACCACGAATCCGCCTATAGTGCCCCTCAACCCTGCGCCGGCGCCGGCCTTCAACTTCGGCGCGCCGCAGCCCAGCACAGGGGTGTTTGGGTTTGGGCAGGTGAGGCACAAATATAAATATATCATATTAGCCTTTACATACTTGTTAAGTAATAAGTGCGTTGTAGAGATTATTTTTACTATTTTTATGCAAATATTAATATTAGTTGTATTTCAAATTTAATTTATTTATTCATTTAATATAAAGCATTGCTTAAAATTTTACATTTTCATTTTAAAAGGCGGGGGTTCGCGTCGCGACCGAGACAAGTCTCGCTCTCGCTTGCGAAATAATGCTTATTGTCAGTGAACTGTCAAGCACCGGCTGCTGTCTCCAGTGACTTGTCTCGGTCTCTGCGCGAACAGCTGTCTTTAGACGCTATATTATGTACACTCACCGGCTATAAATACATATTTCATAACGGTACACGAAGCCGAAATTAGCAATTGTCACTTTCCAAAGACTATACAAACAGCCAAGTGCATATTTTTGTCTAAATTGAATAAAGATTTTTCATTTTCAATCACTATGGAAAACTGCGACATCTACGCGAGCTTAGCTAAACCAACTTAACTCTTGCTTTGCAACCTGCATTATACACCGGCATATTTAAAGGAACGGAAATAAATACGATAAAAGATATCTATGCAAAATTATTCTACAAAATAAAGAGGTAAATAAAATAACATAGATTTTATAAAAATAAAGTCATTCAAATCCATCGAAACGAAAATTGATCTTCACTTTTCAACTACAATTATAAATTGTGGTCTGATTAAAAATTAGGGTAGTTAACACTAACCAAATGAATTAATTAATGACGGGTATTTCCCCCTCTTTCTCTGATGAAGGTTTCCATTCATCTGAGCGTGCTGCACATGTTATTCACAGTATTTTGGGACAATCCCTGCCATTCCTCTAACGGAATTCACAATTTATTCTTCAGATTGTTGGGGGGTGGTATTCTAGATTTAACACATCTTTTAAGAAAGTTCAAGACATGCTATATGTTTATAGGATTCATGTCTGGGGATTTCGCCAGCTACTGCATTATGGGTATTTCCTAAAAATGGTTTAGATATGCCATATCTAGCCATTTTTTACCTAATAAATTATGGATATTAATGATTTTTTTCCGGTTCCCTAAATATCGGCCCGGTGTGTAGCCGGGCACTGTATTTTACCTTTCATTATCATAATCTATCAATCAACTTGCATCTAACATAGGTATCATATTGCATGCAGCACAGGATCCAGAGAGAATGAGTAAAAATTTTTTTCATTGATAACAAATTATTAGTAATTTATTAGTTTACTTACAGTGGTATCAGTAAAGATTTTCACGTTTTTAATAAACTACGGTAAAAATAGCACCAGCCGAATGTAAAATTGTGTTGATTTATCTTATAGCCATTGTCTTCTATTACAATATTTTCAATGCGAATTCGAAATAATGTGTTACAGTTCTGGTTTTAAATGCCAATAAAAGAAAACCGACTGACGTATGAGTGCACAACCCAATCCGCTCTGGGTCTAGGAGACTTAAAATTAATTAAGTGGTTCCTAAAGATTGTTATATCGATCTATATTTCTTTTTGTGAAAAGACATGATCATTTGATTACTCTCTTTCACATAGACAGTCAATAACTCTCTTAAGCCATCTGTCGCGTCCAGACGCGCTTCATCGATTCTGCGATACGATTGGTCAAAACAGCTGACGTACGCTGTTGAACGACCAATCGTATCGCAGAATCGAGAAGCGTGTCTGGATTGGAGACGTTAAAAATTACCGTAATCGGGGCTCTGTACTCTCTTCGCTCATTCTTTCACATCGCCTAGCTTCGCTTTTTTCAAATATTTCATAATATAGCACAATAGGAGAATAAATGAAATATTGTCTCACTGCAATGATTCTCAGGTTAATATCACAGACCAAATGTTACTTTATCAGTCTTATCACATAATTAGTAAGTTCAATCTGATTGTATATTTTTTAATAAAAGGTTTCATATCCATAACACTTGGAAGGCGGTAATATTAATCATTGTAATTACCACAAGAAAAATAATTGCATTGTTTATTTATTTATACAATTATATAGGCTATAAATAACTTTTTAACTGTCCTAATAAATCAATAATGCAATTGATTTTGTACTTTTCATCATTATCATTTCAGCCATAAGACATCCACTGCTCAACATAGGCCTCCCTCATGATTTCCATGTTGACTGGTTTCAGCGCTTTCATGCTACCATTATGATGTCGTCGGTCCACACTTTTCAGTGCACGTTTATTTGTTATAATTGATTTAAATAACAAGAACACGAAGGAAATGTCAAGCATCTTGTTTTCAAGAAAGAAGATTCGTCACCTTAATAAAAATACTTTTTGACGGATATACATTGGACCCATCTCGCCAATCGTATCAGCAGGGAGTAGACATCGTTGCAGTGATACATTATCCACCACTGTTTAAGTAATATACATCATCACCCTCTAGTGTTTTGTTTGAGAGATTTTAAAAACTAAAAGACTAACGCCCGTATTCACAAACATTACTATGAGTTCTCACAGTGCGTGTGGACGTACAGGGTGACACACGAACCAACCACAGCTCTATTCAACGCTGTGCGTTCGATTTGCTGCTTCACTTAAGCAAGCATCGTTTGTGAATACGATCGTTAGTATAGTATCAAATTGAAGTTCATAATATAACCTCTATTAATCTTAATTCGTTATTTAATTCTTAAGATGCCAGCTAAATACAGCTTGCGGTTCGCATGCGCATGTTTGGAAATATGGCAGGCGATTTTATAGCGCTGAGCGTGTTGGTGTAAATGTTACGGTCAAAGTGATAAATGTGAAAATTATGAATAATCGCCGGTCATTATGAATAATACCGCATGATTTGGTAAATGTGATTAATATGAGGTCATTTATGTGTGTATAAAACTAAATAGGCGGCTTAGGGGTGGCCCAAGGGCCACCCCCGCCGCACCTTAACCTATTTTTCACTTTAAATCAAAACATTATGTTAAAGGCATCATGGAAAAGTAATATTATGCAAGAAACATTCCAAACTCATTTTGCCAAATTATATTAATATATGATATCAAAACGTTCAAAAGTTTGACTGTACACGAGCACGGACACAAGATGTTGTTCTCTTTTATGAAATTTGTTAGTACTAAGGTTGAATTATTAAATAATCACTGTTAAATGTGATTAATTTATCACTTTTACCGCGACTGTCGGGAATTATGCATAATTACCGGTTATTATTAATTTTTCAATTTATCACATTAACCGTAACATATAGATATGTTGTATTGTACACAATGAAAATGTGTTGTTCTTCAGACGGCGCAGCAAGCGCAGCCAGCGGGCGTGTACAGCTTCGGCGCCCCCGGCGGCGCCCCGCAGGTGCAGTTCGCTATGGGCCGAGCCCCCAGCGCCGCCGGCGCGCGCCGCATGCGCAAGGCGTTCCGCAGAAACTCACCACGATGAAACCCATTCCGCCGCCGCGTGGGTTGGCCGTACCAAACAAATCCTGTAAGTGACCTCTCGGAAAACAAGCCATAAACCCACAACTTCTACCAAGCCGGTGGTTTTGATGTAGCCAATATTTTTATAGATGTATAAAATAATTCAAACACGACGCACCATCTGTCTACATTCTTTTAGTGATTAACGAATCACGCTAATTATGAAAATTTTATGTGATCTTTTTAATGGTTATTATTATAATATACTATTAAAATTCAACAATTCTGTTAGGTAAAACGACGAGTTGATCTTCTTGTATGGGTAGTGCGTTCGCGTTAATAAAATGGTGACGCATCGTTGTCACACAGCTTAGCAACCAATCAGATCGTAGTTACATTAGAAAGCCGTGTTCACATTGACCAGTTGATGGAAGTCAGTCAGATAGTTCGGATTTCCGTGTAGTTGAATGGAAAGCATGGTCCATCTTTTTTAATGTTTGTAGTTTATTATTTAATGGACATTAGTATACAAATTTAGGAACACATAGTACACATAAATATGTATCAATATTATTAAGGTTACATGTATGATTATGACATTTTGTAGATCAAATAATGCTTCAACCACACCAACGCGTGCCTATCGCCATCGCCGGCGCGATCACGGCGCGATCTGCACGCGTTGGTGTGGTTGAAGCAAGTCTATCCAACAAAATTATTACATTCTATATACTCTATTGATTTATATTGGTGACAACAATGCATTTAACATTCAATTCTCTTAATACCGTGTAATAAAAAAGTTTACAATAAAGTTAATGGTTTGATTTTAACTCCTGTATGAATACGTCATTGTACAGATGTCACCATTTCCTTAACGCGAATAGGCTATGGCTCGGTTTCTGAATTGATATGCTTAGCTTGAGCGTGCTTAAATTTCTTACTTAAGTAGCTGGAGCACGTTCAAGCTATGCATCTCAATTCAGAAACTGTGCCCATAATTAGGTATTTTTAGTGTGTACTTTATTTTTATGTATTATATTATACTATCCCTTAACTACTGCATAATTTTAATTCCGATTACTTTCTCTTATGTACAAACTGGAAATATGCCATTCATCTCCCGAGTATTAAGATACCATACTAGTAGTAAATCAACAATAGTCTTGATTAAAGGAATAGAACTATGATGCCTTTATAGGAGTCAGTGGTTTTGCTAACTATTATTGACTTATCATATTGCCTTTAGGAAATAGGTATCTAATTATAAAAAACATACTATACGACATATTCTTATTTTTACTGGTTCTGAATTAAGTACCACAGTTGGATGCTTGGACTAGTGCCGCTATTTAAGTACTATGGGAATAATAAACCAATATTCTGTTTGTCAAGTTGGTAAATCTTTAATAGTTGCCAGAGCAGCCTGACAAACTAAATACATTTATAATTTAATTTTTATGTTTTTGGAATCAAGTTAGGACTGGAAAACTTAAGATATACAGTGTGAGTCACGTTAAAGTGTACATATGAAAATAGATGAAACTAGACCTATTTTTATCGACAAAAAAGTGGTCAAAATTTTTTTGAGATTTTTTTTTAATTTTTAACAACGAAACTGAAAATGGCTCTAGATTTGTAATTTTGATAAAGACAAGTTAGATTTCAAGTAAAAACAAAAGATTTCGAAGTAAAATAAGCATTTTAGTTAAAATTAAAATTGTCCCTACCTGTAGAGGAGAATAATGTTGTGGTAGGCCTTTGTTCAAACTATCATAGCAAATGTTGTGATAGGGATAGAGACATGCAATTTTTGGTTTTACAAAGGTAATACGATAGAGAATAATACAAAACAATAAAAACCACCTGTTATAGGGGCATTTTTTGGAGAAATTTATCAAATAACCAAAAAAACACGAATTTTTAAGCAGATTTTTTTTTTAAAGTGTAATTTTTTATTATTTGTTGGCAATTTGTGTGTATTTTATGTATTTTTTTAATATCGCCTATTATTTAACATTATCACTGTTTTTATTTTATCAGGATATACCGCTTAGTTTAAAAGTTATTACGTTTTCTTTACAATACGTAATTGGAAGAAAAAAAATTCTATAAAAAATTAAAAAAAATCTCAAAAATTTTTTGACCTCTTTTTTGTCGATAAAAATAGGTCTAGTTTCATCTATTTTCATATGTACACTTTAACGTGACTCACACTGTATAAAATGCAAAATTATGCGTGATAGATATTTAATCGAATAAAGGTGATAGAGCACGCAACAAAATTATAAGGTTTGTTGTGCCACGACACGTGGGCATATTAATTAAGGGGTGTATTATTAAATCGAGTATTAAAAAAAAACAGAGGAGATGGAACTTTTATCAAAGGGGCTGTTGCAAATAGTTGGTAGGTTTAATATGTCCACGGATGCAGACTAAACTCTTATTTAGGTACCTTATATGTCACCGTATGTAAGATGTTTTTTTTTATAAAAGTTTTCAAGTTAGAAAAATAGTGGCCATGTTTTTATACATAAACTACACTGAACTATCCCAAACTCATTGACAGGGAGGCGCCACTCCAGTTCTCTTTCTTTTCAAAAATAAAGGAATGTTTTCTTTGAGTAAAATTTTCTATCTACAGTATTAAGAGTATTTTCCCTCCAGGTGGCATTACAAAATTCCACCCTGTATAGTTAACTTGGCAAAAATCTGAACCAGCGATCCGGTATTGACGGTGGCGCCCCCTGTCAATGTCACTGATGGGACGGTTCGTTTTTGTTGGACAATACTTGATCTATTGGAACCATAAAGTTAATATTCCTTCGGAATAGATCAACAACCACGAGCTGTCAAACGATACCGAATTTGGATGACACTGGTTGTTATTTGTGTGTCAGTTATCATAATTATTTCACTATTTTGTAGAAACAATCAATCACTGAACCAGTCACCACGTTTCTGAAGTACTATTTCTCATAAACATACACGGTTTCACTCACGTAAAATCTGAAAATATCTCAGAGTTCAAATTTTCAGTGTGCCAATAAGTGCTAACGAACTGTCATATAGTTGAAAAAAAAAGGCATCACGCATCTCTTTTTATCACACAGTGTTGCTGCTAGTGACATCTCGCTCGCTCAGTTCTTTGTTGCTCTAATACCGCTAGGTATATTAAATATTAACTTTATTTATTTAAAGGCACAACTATAGAATACAATTCAATACAATTACAAAGATATAGATCGTTTCATCCACGATGACGCGCCCCACCACTCTCCGGTCGAGGGAAGCGCGGGGTGCGGGGAGCCTGATCCGACCAATCCGAGCGTCATCATTATAGTGTGCGCGCGCACTCACAGACTGTCCAATGAGGGTTTTCGCGATTGAAAAATCCGCCAGATGGCAATACGTAGACGCGAGGTCCAAATGCTGCATGATTGGTGGATTTTGACATATCTGTCAATGTCATGTCAAAAATAACCAATCATGCAGCATTTGGACCTAACGTCTACGTATTGCCATCTAGCGGATTTTTCATACGCGAAAACCCTCATTGCAACGCTGCCAATGCCAACAATGGCGCTCAATGGCTGGTCGGATCAACTCCCTGCACCCCGCGCTTCCTCCGAACAAAAAGTGGCGGGACGCGTCCTCGTGGATGAAACGATCTATAACTAGGTTATTAACTTATGATTGGGACTTACAGTCCTCTCAACTTAAGCTGTGAATTGCATTTGTGTGAGTGCACACCGATAGTGTAGAGTGGCAATCGGCTTGAGTCGCCGCGCGTCCCGCGCATGGTTTAAACCGGTTTATACTAGTTTATAGCAAGCGGCCTGAGGCGCGGCGCGTCCACTACGCGCCGCTTCCCTGCCGCTCGAATACTTCACTTCACCCCCGGTACTGGTAGCAGATAGACGTGTAATTTTATGTGATTGTGTTCGAAATATTAGTGAAGTGGCTCCTACTGTAAGTGAATTTCCTGGACAAAAACCATTAAGCAGCCAAGTGAAGATGAAGATGCAATGAGCGGAGTAGAATAGTTATAAGATTCAGTCATTATGAAGTCGAGAATTGGACAGTTGGTAACATTGTGTTTTATGGACTTCCTTTTAATAAAACAATAATTTTATTTGTATGTGTTTTACTAACTGTACTTTTGGCGATCACTCACACAAATGCAATTCTCAGCTTAAGTTGATAGGACTGTACTCGTAATTATTTTGGTCAGCAGGCCAGGGGCAAGATGTAAATCTTAACGCATTTTTTTTTGCGTTAAGAGTTACATCTCAAACTAAATTTTAAATAACTTGAAAGAAATCGAACTGCTAAGTTAAATTTTTGTGTCCTTAAGTATGTGTTCCGATCTCTCACACTGAATGTTCCGCTTATTCGTTTCTTTTTAAATTATCAATCTTGATTTCTTATTCGACAAAATTATTTCTTACCTACCTTTCTTAGGTATTCCGCTTTTCCGGTTATTTCTAATTTGAAGGGCTCTGTGATGATTTTTCATCATAATTACATTTAAAATTATATGGCCACTGTTCTTTATTTTACATCTATCCGGTAGGTAACATGAAAGTGTAAGAGTGAAATTTTTGTATAATTATGTTGTGTAGGGATGAATAATATCATGTAATAATATAGCCTGCCTCATCGATAAAATAATGATCTATTCCAACACAAAAATATTTTTTCAATTCTGACCAATAGTTGTAGTAAACAATGAAACAAACACACTTTATAATATGTATCACCTAAAGATAATATTTGTGTGACAAATGTGACGTATGTATGTCCTTTTATTTAGAGTGCATTACCGCAGCAAAATTTTTATAAATGTTGTGCTTTAGAGAGTCGAGAGTATAGCAGATAATTAGTCCATCGTGAGCAGAAATTTGTCCACTAATAGCAAAATTTGTTCAAATTATAGTTTTAAAGTTATTAGGAAAAAACAGATTTTGCTGGGGTAACATTACCCTGGCAAAAATTTTTTTTGAAAGTCGTTCTATCCCGGAACCAAATACATGGATAGATAGCTTTTGTTGCGTAGTAATTTGTCCACGAATAGCAAAATTTGTTCGTGTTCCGGTTTTCAAGTTATTCAGAATTTTGCTGGGGTAATGTTTTGTGATGTCCCAGATCTCGTAAATGGCTCAACGCAGAAGTTTGAAAAAAAATACCAATGATAGACCTTGATATGTCCAAATTAGTTCAAGCATTAGTCATTGATTTGAATGATAAACACAAGTGTAATTAAATGATTTCGAAAATCAGATAAAACGGATTTGTGAGTAAACCAGTACTCTTACAATCGAATAAAAAGGTGTAGCATGTACCCTTGGTAACCTTTATAACCACAGTAAATATAAATGATGTGGCTTTGCGCAAATGGCCAAATACGCAATTCCCTTATAACAAGGGAACATGGCATACAATGGACAAATTAAAATGTTCCTTGAATAAGCTATCCTGTTAATTTCAGCTTTATATTACGACTTAAAAGAAAGTTATTGAACTGCAAAAAATATCAGGAATTCTTCTATAAGCCAACCAAATTATAAAGGTTACAGAAAAGCGATCACTCCATACATACAGGTATACTTCGCAAATTAGGGCTTATTCGGTTTAGGACAGATTCTGTTTAGGACAGATTCGGTTTACGACAGATTATCTTTATGACAGATTCGTTTTATGACATACAATTCACTTCCATTACTCTACTAGTAATGTAGTAATTGCTCAAAAATAATTGTAAAGAATGAGGAATTAGTGCTATGATTTATGTGTTGGTGGACAGTAGAAAATAAAAACAGTCCCTTTATTGTCAAAGCAAAGTCAAGCCAAAGTCAAAATTCCTTTATTTGCATGGACTATTAAAAATAATGAATTTATAGTAAAAATAAAAGACTAATAAAAAACCTTTAAAGTTTTGCTCATATGAAGCCTTCACATGTCTCATAATCTTTTTATCCTACCAGTCTGCCGATTAAAATAAATAGAAATATCGGTTGTACCTACATATTGATTCAGGGGCATTTTTTATGGTGTATCTTACAAAAATAGGCATACAAGATTGCGTAGTATAGGAATTAACTAAGTAATGACGTGCTGATATCTAGACTTATTGACATGTGAATGGGTTTGAACTATATATTCATTTCATACTTAAGTAGAAAATGAGCATGCTCAAGGTAATAATCTCAATTCAGAAACCGGGGTAGCTCTATGTATTGTCTTCCAACACATTAACTCAATAGTTCTACCTTAAAACTAATACTTAATGGAACAAGTGGGAACAAAGGAAAAATAAAAAAATATTCCTTTTATAAAATAAATGAATTTTCTATCGAGAACTCTTGATCCCTAATGATTTAACTTTTTTAAGACGCTTCAGGACTGACTGTACAAACATTTTGAAATTTATTTTCTTATGATCATAAGTTGAAAATTTGAGGATACTTGGTACCTGTAATAAAAGATGATTACGGTATAGAATATATTCACAGTAAAAATAAAAATATTGACGTTTATTATGTAAGGCTAGGCATTCACCACTGAATACAAATCTATTTTATACATGCACTAGTTGTCGGGCTAGGAATACAGGTATATAGAATTATTAATAAATAAAAATATTGAATTAATAGCACCACCATACTAGTATTTTTGATCATTAAGATATCGCACATACCTTTATACTGAATTAGTAATCTAGACAGATAAAGTGAATACATAGTACACAGTTTCTTCAAACAACGCTATGTTTTCTGCTACTACAGTCCTTTTCATAACTATTTTTGTGTGCTTTATTTCAAAATCAAATTAAAAATAATAACCACATTATGAAGAAAAGAGTTTTAAAAAATTCAAAATCAACTTTGTATAGATAATTTTCGTTTTAGTAATATTCCATTTTCTGAATTTTTTATTGATTTGACTAAAGACATTTCGATATTATCAAATATAAAAACTGGTTAAAAACACGCGAGAAAAAAATTTGAAGCAGTTTTTAGGTAAAATTTCGGAAGAAATAAATAAAATAAAAAATAGCAATTAAAAAAAACTTACTGATAAGTGGGCGAACTTGTATTGTTAAAATAACCTTACCTATACACCCGGGAAGTTTGTCTAACCTTCCACCTAGCACCCCCTGTATAATATCAATTTGATATGATAAATGCATGTAGGTTGAAAAAGAAATGAAATTGTTATTCACACCAGTGAAAGAAATAAAATCTCGTATTGTTTATTTTGAGGTTTAATAGAAATTGCAAAATAAAGCATAATAATATTTGTTATTTAGGTCTCTTAATTGTTCTTTTGTTTCAGGTCAGTAATTAGGCATTTGAACAGGAATCTTATCGCGGTATATTATATTTATGACGGCAATATGTATGCATAATACGTCCAAAATGGATTGACAGATTATGGTTTCCTTCATACTAGGTCAGTGAGGTTTTTTCCTTTTCTGTTCACCTAACAGTGCGTGTAGCATTATCCTAAATGTCGGTGGTTCTGTAAGGTAGTTGGCGTTGGAAAATTGCCAATTCTAAATGTATCTTTCAAGTTTCAAATTACTGACTCGATTTAAAGTCATTCTGGCGGTAAATATGGTAGTTAATACACTGTAACACACCACGGTATCTGACTTGTAGTATGCTTCTCATTATACTGCATGGCACTGACAAAGAGGCTTTTAAGAAGCTCCTGTATTAGTTAATTTTTGGGATAAAATGTGTAATTTTTCATTTTTGAGTAAGAAGTCGTTAATGATATTCCCGAAAGCCTAAAATTCTGTATGACAGAAAATTATACTTTTAGTAACAGGGTAATTAGAATGCTTACAAATAGTGCTATATTGTCATCATTATTAAATCTCTTGGACACGTTGAAATAAATATTGTGCTTCCATTGCGAATATATTTATATATTTCTTATTTTACTAAATAATTGTGGTACAAAATGAACTACATACCTGGTCACATCAATCACGTTGTGGTGTTTAAAAATCTAAAGGGATTTATCTACTAAACTACTACACATCTTGGGTTAATACCTACATGCAGACATTGTATTTTTCTCCTCCTGATTATTATTTATTATAACTTCTATCTTAAATAATGACAGATGGCACAATTGAGACATAACAGCGGGGCTTCATCTTAAAAAGACGAACGTATTTTCGATTATCGAAAGTGATACATGAAGTTGAAAATACGATTTTCATAGAAGCCTCAATAAATACGACTCATATTTACTTATTAGTGTACTATCCATATTAATATCTTGTATCCATAGAAAACGGTATATTTTAATCGATGTAAACTTAGTGTTATAAATGTATACTGTAGTAGTGTTTAATAGGTATCTATCTTTCATACGTATTGAATACAAAATCTTTCGAGTGGCTAATATACACGTCGAACAGTTCTTATACACACATCATTCCGATGTCGGCAAATAGTCACATAATATTAGAAGCTGGTCTGTAGTAAGAACATTTTTGAATACATGTCATAGATTATACTGTAATAATTAGTGCTGCCAGTTGTAACAATACTAACATACATACATATTTTAAACATATTAGAGTTAATAGTTTTGAATGTGGATTAGTTCGCCGGATGATGATCCGCCTTTACTTTAGTCTAGCTCCGTAATGATGGCCGGAGCCTGCAGCTCGAGCGGAGGCTGTCGCGTGACTCCTCTCAGATATCGCCAAAGACACGTACTATTGGTTCTGCGTCCGCGAGAGGCGACAGGCGCCAAGGCCGTTAGCGATACACCTTAGCGATCGAGAACGGTGACATCTCGCTTATATGCCCCGTCACCAACCACCCCATCAAATATATCCCAGTACTACTCGTTTATTATTCATGCCCACATCCACGGGGCGAGATGAATTCGTAGCCGAGATCTTAGTTTTTAATGTTTTACTATAAGTTAAGATGTATCTCTTCTAGTATCAATAAATGTTCAGCAAAATATTGTATCAGACATGACGACGGTATCTTTTGTATATTGGATTTTTTAACTAAGTCAAACGTAATTTAATAAAAAAAGAGTATTTATACACATCTGTTAAATGACTGCTACGATCTTTTGCTTATTACGATTTTGTATTGTACATATTTATATTAGTTATTACCTATTATACTAATGGATTCATTTGTTCATCATTTGAATTCTGACCGAGATTTCCAAAAAATATTATGTTCCACTGAAAAATTCAAGATACTTGCCATAAGTTATTATAGCCTCTATGGAAAGATGTATATTTTTTTGTTACTGCATCTTACAAGTAAAATGTTGTCATTTTGGAAGTCTCAACTCGAGCCAGTTAACCAATCAGTGACTATTCAAGACTAGCTGGAACTAGTTTCATTTTAAACATCCATAATTTCGGATTAAAATTCAATAAATAGTCACCTAATTCAATCTCGTCAATGCGTATGATAAAAGGCATTACATACTAATTTTTGCACGAATAGTTTCCATGGTGTTTTATAGTTTAATGCGTAATCTTGTTATTTCTGGAAAAAATGGTCTCAACTTTTTGTATTGCGTATTTTTTAAGACACAAAATCACAATTACTATTGTTAATTTATTTTTTTAATTGTTAACACAAGTAACATTATAAGATTTCATTAACTTTGAATGCCTTTTATAGCCTGACCAGGAACATAAAAACCCTCGCCATGTTGCGGAAAACTAATGGTACTAATTTCTTTTAATGGCAACAGTAACTGAAAACTTCATTGACATGTCACCTTGCATGTCAGTCTATTGCTGTCAAAGTGTAAACAAACTTTATTTTAAATGTGCGCAATTGATTTTGTGAATTAAATTGCTAAAATCTTTTTATAGTCGTGAAAGAAAAGTGGTTCACAATGTGTTAAAGTATTTGTCGAAGAGAAATACTAAGGGTTAGGACAATATTTTCATTGAATAATGTTTCCGACAAAGGTTGTCAAATTGACTGACATGTTTATCGTATAGTACAGTCCACTATGAAAATTAGCTGTGGTTTGTTTCAACTACCTATTTTAAAGTTTTTTGTCACTTTCTAAGTGTTGAATTTTATGGAATTGGGAAAGAAGTACCGAGTTTGAAGCGTTCATGAGCAGACATTGCAGTTGAATATTCAAGTTCTGAATTTGATTATTGATGAATAATAAAATAAATCCTACTAGCTCGATTGATGGTTTCATTTAATTTATTTAAACCAGGTTACCTATAATAATATTTTTTCGTTAATTTATGAAAATATGAAATTAGCCCGTAATCCTAAATCCTGATACATAAAGTTAGCCTATTAATTTAACACAGGTACGACTGTACTCAGTGTTGCACTATCAAATGCAATTGACGCGCCTCTATGCCAGGGTTTTTATGTTCCTGGTCAGGCTATATGCCAGATTGGGTTAGTTGTAAAGCGAATTAGTATTTTTACATTACAGTAAAAAACTATATTTTTAGTGAAAATGTAGTGTACAATGAAATCTTAAAACTACGATGGTTATAAATACCAATCTTTTTTAAATCTTTTTTTGCAAGCTTCTTTAAATTTCCAAATATTATTTTCTTACCACTAAACTGTAAGTGGCTATAGTAGATCAAGACTTGTTAGTCTGCTGTAACCGTAATGTATAGTCGCATTTGGATTTTTAATATATTGATTTATTTTTTTAATATTCAAGTAGGTAATAACGACGCATCCAAATGCGCACTGAACATAGTCATCTTAATGTAAAACTTATCATAATTGTATTTATCTCTATATCAATGGAACTTACAATAAAGGAATAAAAGAAGATTGGGGAGCAAAACTAAAATACTGATACTTCTTGATACTATTGAAACATTGAAAGAAATAATATGATAAAATAAAATTATTGATTTATTATGAATGCCTTTAGATTTGTTCCTCAATAAAAAACAGCCATTAAAAACATATCTGTAGTTTTATTTTGAACTTAATCCCTATCATACATAAAAATTGCATTGTCACCAACATACAAGGTCAACACTACTTTCCCATCCGTGGCGGTCTCCTGGCTGACGGACAATGTGAGCCGGCCTCCAGCTGCTCTGACTGCGAGTCATCGCCGCCCCCACTTGTCCTTGCCGTCCACGGCGGAGGCCGTGCTTCTTCAGGCCCTTCTCGGGCATTGACAGAGAGGCGCCACCGTCAATACCGGATCGCTGGTTCCGATTTTTGCTATATTGGAAACTATACAGTTGAACGACGGTGGCGCTCCCCTGTCAATGAGTTTGGTGGGACAGTTCATTGTAGGTCATTTAAACAACGAACCGTCCCATCTGCTCTGCATCAGTGACATTAACAGGGGGGCGCCACCATCAATACCGGATCGCTGGTTCCGATTTTTGTCATGTTGGAAACTATACAGGGTGTTTCGAGTAAGGTGTCAAGCCGAAGGCAGGTGATAGATGAGGACTAGACCTATCGATTTCACCCTATGTGTGATAGAAGGTAGGAAGCCATAGTTCCTCTCTAGTTGAAGTTCCCTTCCACCTTCAGCCTGATCATCAGTTTCCACTAGGTGGTGACAAGACCTTCCTCGTTGAGAATAAAAACATGTTCTGTTCAGTTATTGTCTCTAAATAAGTTCTACATCATGTAAACTTAGAGGGTTGCCCACATTAATTACCTTAATGACTTACCACTTTTGTGGAGCGATTACAGGAAATAGTGGCCCGTTCAGTACTTACATGTTTGTTTGTATTATTATGACTCAGGAAACTGCGCAGTTTTTAAAATGGTTTTGGACCTATGGAAGTTCTTTTTTTATTTAAATCTCTAAGTAGAACATTTGATAGTGATCAGCATAATTTTTATGTTTCTTGCAAAAATGTTGTATCTTGCTTCAAAGATAGGAAGGTGAATATTTTTTTTCAAACATTTGCAATTAGTTAATAATGATTCTGTTAAAAAAAAGAAATCTGAGAAAAGTCAACCCAAAAAATTTTTTTAAAGCCTACTAAAATTTTAAAACAATAACAAACGATAACTTCTAAACTATAGTTCCAAAATACTGGACCAGGGTGCGGAAACTTCCATACTACGATCATCCAAGTGAAACTTGCTTCCAAACAGCGACTTCAGTCGATAAATTCCAATACTTTTTAACTACCCTAAAACGCTCTAGATGTCGCTGCTCCTATTTCCATCATATTTTCATTTTTTTCTTAATTAAAATATATTTGAGAATATTGTTAATTACAATGTGAAAACTTTTTTTAAAATGAAATTAATTTGTTTTAATTTAAAACTGAACGGTGACATTTTTTGTTATAATTTACATAATAGAGTAGTAGAAATTACTATTTAACATATGGCAACTTTGTTTTTCCTCCAAAATGGCCGGTGTTGTTTTTGTTAGGTTGAATGCATTCTTGTTTTCTTAGCCATCGTTTATGAGTTCTGTGGCCCTATTGAAGTATTGAAGAGTCGAGTCAAATTCAAGTTCATTCCTTCGTACCTGCTGCTGTTCTGGTTCATCGGAGTTTTGTTTGTTCCTTCGTGAATCGCGAAGAAACTTTCTGTTATGTTCACAAGTGATGTGAGTTTTCTCAAAGTGCAAATGCTTTTTTAGTGTTGTTGAAAACTTTGCGAAAAGACGCTTTTGGTGTATAATATTATGTGTGTTCATAAATAAAGTAAAATTATTAAATTGAAAAGTTTTTGTTTATTTGCATTTCCATGTGCAATGTAGAATATTTCCAAATCCACTGTTTTGAAAATAATACAATACGTACACCATAAAGATAAATATTTTCAAAATAATGGATTTTTAAAAAAAATCTACATTGTACATCAAAAAAACAATAATTCTTTGAAGGTTATGAGGGCCTATGTGTGCGTGAACTGTGTGTATGTGTGCGTGGACTTTATGTATGTGTGCGTGGACTATGTATGTATGTGAGCGTTACGTACGTAGGTTAGGTACAGGGAATTTAACACCAGGCTGTCAATTATAGTTCCAAAATACTGGACTGTCCTGTCGATGACATTGACAGTGGGGCGCCACCGTCAATGCCGGATCGCTGGTTCAGATTTTTGCCATGTTGGAAACCATATAGTTGAACGATGGTAGCGCCCCCCTGTCATTGAGTTTGGCGGGACAGTTCAGCGTGGGTCATCTATAGTAGGTTCAAAAATTTGACAGAGAGGGTTCTCTATTTCCTATGTATAGTTCCAAAATACTGAACTGTCCTATGCATGACATTGACAGTGGGGCGCCACCGTCAATACCGGATCGCTGGTTCCGATTTTTGCCATGTTGGAAACCATATAGTTGAACGATGGTAGCGCCCCCCTGTCATTGAGTTTGGTGGGACAGTNGAAACCATATAGTTGAACGATGGTAGCGCCCCCCTGTCATTGAGTTTGGTGGGACAGTTCAGCGTGGGTCATCTATATTACTTTTCTCTGTGTACTGGACTGTCCTGTCGATGACATTGACAGTGGGGCGCCACCGTCAATACCGGATCGCTGGTTCAGATTTTTGCCATGTTGGAAACCATATAGTTGAACGATGGTAGCGCCCCCCTGTCATTGAGTTTGGTGGGACAGTTCAGCGTGGGTCAACTATACGAAAAATCGTAGAAATAATCTGTGGTAGAAATACATGGGTAATAGGTACATGGAGGTGATATCGATAGGTCTAGTCCTCACCTGTGGGTCTAGACAAAGTGCAAATTATAATCGCAAACCAGTCATCTAAGCCTGATATTTCTTAAATTATGACCTTAATAAAAGCAAAATATATGCCAAATAATTGTTAAAAACAATTAACAATTTTAGATACTATCTCAGTCTGCCTACGAACTACATATGAGCAGATAGAGGTAAAAGTAAGGATCACTCACACGGCATATTGGAGGAAAGAATAAAGGTTAATTTCTTCCTTCAGCTTTTAAGTTTTGTCACACTTATTCTTTAACAAATTCGCTCGTCAGTTTGCACACATTTCCCAACAGAAATAAAACGTATTTATTAATAAAAAGTCATTATTTTGAAGAGCACTCATACGGCCCGTGTGCGGTGTGAGTGATCCTAAATAATCGTCATAACTTTGGAACGGGACGTGCAAGGAATTTCTGAATTTGTTAATAGTTTTAACATATTCTTAACAATTTTTCAATACTATAAAAAGAAGTGGAA